CTAACATGTAAAATGAGTTTAGGTTAGGTTTTGGGTCAGGTATGTACCTGTGAGGTTAGCTTTAGGGTAAAGGGTCAGGGTTAGGCTGTAGAAATCACTGGAGAATGAATAGAAGTTAATGCAAGGTCCCCACGAGGATAGAAAAAAACTGTGTGTGTGTGTGAACTACTGTATGAATTTTCATAAAAATCTTAAAGCAATACTGGGTTTGCAACTAAAAACTAACATTTGGACACAACCTAGTTCAAGATGGCTGCCACAGCTAACTAACCTTCGCAACACAACAGTGGTTAAAACTTGCAGATATTAAAGTTAACTATGTTACCTTTAGTTGTGATAAAAACACTGTTTTTAAATGTCAAAAATACATGTGGCTTTGCATCATAATGCCTTGAAATTGCCCTCCGTCTCTTCAATAACATCCTACTGTTTCTGACACTCCCACTTCAACACTTCTTCACAGCAATGCTTCGGGGGACGGGTGCTCTGAGGGGTGGGAGCTCGGCTGCAGACTGAGACACAGGGAGGAGCTTTGAACAAATAGGCGGAGCTTTGTACCAGCAAATGTTTAGGCAGCTCCGCATGGCCACAGTAGATTTGAGGATTTCTCAAACATGAAAGAGTCAAAGCAACTCTGAGTATATTTTTAAGAAGAAATGACATAATATGAGAGCTCAAAAAGTGGATTTTGCATAATACCCTCCTTTAAGCTGAATTAATCACATCTCACAAGTCATTTACATGGTTTGACCAAAATGTACTTTATCAAAAGATGTTTTTAGTTTAAAGTTAGGCATTTTAACTACAGTACAGTTTTATTTAATGGAGTTTTCTTTTAGACATACACCAAGTTTGTAGTGTTTTCCTCAGTCATATTCTTCCAACACCTCACCTCACCCTGTGTGAGAACTTACATGCTGTGCCATGAGAGCTTTTGCCACTCACACTTTAACGTGAGAACAGAAGTGAAATAAATAACAAAATGAGTGCAACTAAAACACAATTAGGTCAAGCTGTGCTAATGGCAGAGAAACGGTAGGGACCTTCTGTTTCTTTAGGTAAAATTTGGGAAGCTTGTGAGGAACTTGGAAGCCACGTCTTTAGCCACTCCTGAGTTCGTCTCCTGAAGTTGGCTAAAAGGAGAACAGATGGCCTTATGGGTCGTGTCCAGACTCACTGTGGCTGCGACAACTTTGAAAAGTGTGGCTGTGAGTCACTATCTGAACATTTGTGTGTGTGTGGTTGTGTTCTCTGCTTGTGTTGGATTTCTTTTCCAGAATCTGCGTCCTGCAGGCCGTTTCTTAAAATAAGAATGTGCTTTCAGTCGGCCRGCGTCGTTATATAATAACACAAATTATGTGCTTCAGATTGTTTTCTTTGCCTTTATACCCTGTTGTTAGTTTATTTCCCTGTTTTGTTTTTCTGTTGCATTCATCCAAACTCAATTTGACCAAAAGTTTAAATCATCCAGTGTTTCGTCACATTTCTGTTTTTACTCACCTTTGCTTGGATCCTGTTTTTTAAAGCATCTTTCACATGAATTACATGTTTGACTTCACAAACTTGACACTCAGACTATTAAACCAACTTAATCCGGTCTTATTTCGTGGTGATAAGACAAAGTGTGATTTGACAGGGGAAAGAGAGAAATAAAGAAAACCGCAGGAGGTGTCGAGTTGCCTGGCAACAACTTTCCACTTTCAAGTGAGTTGGCCTTCATCGCATGTGAAGACATCTTGAAGTACTTCAGCATAGACGTCACTTTACATGCACTAATTAGTGTTTGGAAAAACAGAAGTAAATATATGGAGAAATGTATGTGATGGAGAATAAAAAAGTGACCACAGCGGATGAGAAATAATTAGTTATATAACTTCATAAGACCGGCATCGTCTGCAGCATCCTGTCAGCAGATATATTTTAATTAACAAATAAAGTTTGCTTCAACAGTTTCCACTGAAGGCTTCACTAAAGTAGGATAGGGTTGCAGGTGAAAATAATGTAAGGATCACTGGAAAGTTACTATAAAGTAAAGATTATTCCACCGGTTTTAATCGATATTTCATATTTTAATAAAACAATACTGTTTAACTTATGTACAGGCAGGTAATCATCACTACACCTTCAGCTTTTCTTCACATAAATAGGAATATCTGAGCCTAATCTAAATACAACAACGATCAATATATTTGTTTAAATAAGCTGCATTTATAAACTTACATTCATATTTTTCAGAGTTTAGTTATTTTTTGTTTCATACTTGCATAAATTTTCTCTACATGCTCAAATTTAAAAAGCTAATTTATGTTCTTGTGCCTAAAACTGAAGAAAAACGGTGTTTTAACAAATACAGTATGAGGTGATAATTTGAGTCATTCATCAAAATAATCAGCTCCTCGAGTTACTTTAAATAGTTTTAAAGAAGATCAGAGCCGTTTGTTTCTCTCAAATGTTCCTCTAAACACAGAAAGTTAAAAAGTTTATAGGCAGCCTGGAAAAGTTGGCACATTTCTGCACAGATTATATAAAACCAAATGCAAATTGTCTGTTTCCAAGGCAACTGTACTTTTTGTTTTTGCTTTCATTCTGAGCTGACAGTTTTCGTGGTACACTTAGTTTTTGACACTGAAGCTTTTGTGTGTTGAGTTTTTTTTAAGCTTTGGTAATTGTTGGATAAAGTTCAAAACGAATACACAATATTTCTAACAAGGCAGAAGAAAAGTGCTGAAGTGCTGTTGAGTTTTGTTTGTAAATTATTATGAAATATTAACAGAAATATATGAATAGGAAGTTGTATAGAATAAAAAACACTGAAGATAAACATGCTGCTGCACTTTTATGGTCCATTTCAGTTTGGACTGCATGCACAGATTATTACATATTCAAGTTTTGGCTGCAGTGAGGTTCATGTTCTCTGTACACCTACACACATTCATCTGGTTGTAATCAAACGCACAAAAAATTAGACACAATCTTGCATAAAAATATTTTCATTTACTTCATATTTGCTCCGTTGAATTTATCCCTTTACRTTGTTTAGAAAAAAAAGATGGGCAAATACTCTGAGGTGCTATCCACCTTCCCCTCTTCTATGTCAGTGTGTAAGAATAATTTAGTGTGTGTGTTGCTTTTAGGGTTTATAAAGGAAAAAATCTGTAACAATTCCCCTCATTTTTATAGTAAAGAGCAATAAATTAGGTCCAACCTGAATAGAAATCACAGCCTTTGTAGGTATAAAATAACTTTTTGGTAATAAATTCTGTCTGGATTTTCACCAAAAACAAAGTAGCAACACAAAAATCTGGAGTAGCGCTAATTATGCTGTTATTCTTAAATCCACATCAGGTTCTACATTAGATCTGCAATTATCAGTTTAATAATGACCCTGTATTGTTTGATTGGTTYATTTCACGCCCGTGCACTTTTCACCCCGCCTCATTCTGACTCATTCTGTTGTAATCAGCCTCGGCTAATTAAAGGGCTTATAATATTTCCCTTTAAATTCCCTGCAGCTAAATTTGTGCAGCTGCATCCAGAAGTTATTGATGGTGGCGGCTGGTATTTGTCTTGTTTTTGCTGTGACAGCCTCTTSGGTACTTTGAGCCAAGTCCAAAAGATGAAGAACAGACTGAAGAGTTTAGGCTCAACATTTAGAACGTGTCTTTTTATTTAATCGTTTCAACAACAAAAAACAGATTTTGTTTGTTTACATCAAATTCTTTTTGTTTAATTTTCAAATGGGTATYAACTGCAACCAATAAAATAAAATAAAAACAGTAAAATAATTTGGGATRATGTTTTACCAAAGTGTTCATTCATCAGCAAATTATCTCCTAAATAACAAATTTTACTGATGCYTTCAGAAAGTATGACATCATCTTTTCTAGACGTTGTTTACAACCCTACTTCACATGATCCAAATCATTAGATCCATGTTTACAACTTGTTACTCTTTTGAAGTAAATTCAGTTCAAGATGGCGGTCAGAGCTAATCAACACTATACAACACAAAAAACACTGTTTCAGTCATTGTAAAGGCTCATGGGACATTTTATGAATTGATAAAATGAGTGTTATGAAGTGTGCTTAAATCTAACCTAATTGCCTCTTGTAGTTACTTGTATTCCATGTCTAATCTTAATATAATTCAAAGATTAAGTACCATGAGTGAAAATTATCTGCACTACAGCCTCTTATACAGTCATTGGGTCAGTAGATGTAAAAATGGAAACATGGAGTTTCTCTGCTATAACCAAAATAAAATTTCTCATCATATAAAGAAACTTAAATTAAATTAAAACTCTGGCTTTCAATTTTTACTTACTGATTTTTAGACTTTAGTAAAGAGCAATAAAATATACAAAGCAACAATCAGCCTGACAGTTTCTTTAAGCCGCACTTATTAAAGATGCATCTTTTAGAAGTGCTCTTCACGTGCAGTTAAAGGGGAGGAGGACATAAAGAAGACAAAGCCAGGTGGATTTGTGTTGCTGTTCACAGCATCATGGTAATGAGGATTATTATGCCCCCCCCCCCCCCCCCCCSSCAGTGGAGACACACAGGGGCTGTGATTTCAGTCTTTTATGTTGTGAGTGTGTGTGTGTGGCGGGGGAATAGTATGATAATAATAATGAAAGAGATGTTAGTCTTTGTGAGTTTTCGACTCACTTTTTAAGACACTGATCCACAGCTTGGCTCTCATGAGTTATATAAGTAAAGAGGGTATCTAAAGTGTGCAGGCGGCATTAAAAGACATTAGAGTGTTTAAAGGTCAGAGCCAAATGTATTCATGAGTTGCAGCAAAACTGCAGCTCCACAAACTCCTTGTTTCTTTTCCTCCGGTGCACACCCTTTTCCTCCTCTCCTCTCCTCTCCTCTCCTCTCCTCTCCTCTGACCCCCCCACACCCCTCCTCTTCCTCCCTTTCTCAGCAGCAGCCAGTGGTACGCTCCAATCATCTTTTGCTCCTCTCCATCCCTCCTCAGCCTCAGCAGCAGCCCCCCTCACCGGGACAGACACTGGTGCAGTGTCGATCCATACGTGCACATGTTCCTTTTCTGGCTTTCAGGACGCCTAACATCCGAGAGCACACAAGTGTGTGTGTGTGTGTGTGTCGATCTGCAGGAGAATGTGCGAGTGAAGCATCCTTTGTGCTGAGGAGCATGAGTGCCTGACTGAGAGGCAGCGTGAGGATGCACGGTGGGCAGGATCTGTCGTGATCGGTGGAGTTTGTGGTGTGCTCTACTTGTGCCGTCTTCCTGCTCCCTCCTTCCAATTTGGTTATCTGTCGAGGACAAAAAGCGTCCTGCTGGGATGTCCACCTCACCTGGTGCAAGAGACGGGAGTCAGAGGAACTCTTGTAAGTAACTTGTCATCTTCTGTAATTTTGAATGATAATCTGTGTTTATCAAATGTTGTGATTTGTTCAGATGAAGGATCTTATTTTAATGGAAATCTGAACTATAATTTGTAGGTTAAACCAGTAATATGATAGTTTCTTTCAGTACAGAGCAGAAGTGTGTGAGAGTGAGTCTGCGTAGAGCTGCTTCATTTGGAGAGATCATAAAGTAAAAGTATGGAATAATTGTGTGCAAATGGGTGTAAGAGTAGCTCAGAGTGCTATGAATATTGTGTAATAGAGGAGTGTGTGTGTGTGTGTAGGTGCATRCCTAAGTGTGTTTGCACGTTCCCTGGAGCGCCTCCAGCTGTACATCTGTTGGGAAGGTGCTTTAAATGGATTGACAAGTGAACCAGCTGGATCCTTTCACTCAGAAGAAAGGACTAGATGACACACTGGTGTCATCAACTGCTGTCAAACCGAGCTGTTTTTTTTGTTTTACTTTCTGTGTCTGTGTGTTGTTCAAGAAAGGAAAACGGCGCTGGTGTTGCATCTTTTTTAAAGATTTCAGCCTGGAGYTGAGATAAATGCATAAATGTCCTGCTGGTTGTAACATTGTAAGATGTTATTCTAAAGGAATTGAAAGTGTTGATTWACAGGATAGTGTGACTCATTTAGATAAGAGTTGAGTGGGTGCATATAGACCAGCTTATCCACACACACTCAGATACTGAATCACAGCTGGGAGAAAGCTTCTCCTTTTATTGCTTCTGTTATTATCATGGCCTCTCCTTCATCGAGCTTTCAGTCCCCTTCTCCCCTCTGTTATTTTCTGGGCGTTATTTATGACGCTGCCATGTGTGAAACTCACCCGGAAACTCTTGTGTGTGTTTGGCTGATGCATTAATGATCACATAATAAAACATCCACCCTCAGTGTGTGTGTGTGTGTGTGTGTGTGTGTGTGTGTGTGTG